GGCGGGGAAGGCCCCAGGGCCTGCGGACCCAGGAGCCTGGGCTAAGGGGCAGCAGGAGGGAGATTTGTCCTGGCACCAGCTCCCAGGTGCCTTCTGTGCCAGCTGCCGTCCTTGGCACAGGGCTGGGATGCACCACACGGGGGGCAGCAGGACACAGCCCGGTGGTGGGGCTCGAGTGCCCCGAATCCACACCAGCTAAGGAGCATTCCCGGTGCACCCCAACCCCCTCGCCCGGGATTTTCTGGAGTCCCTGAGGAGATGCTCTAAGGAAAGCCAGCTTGAGGACCTTAATGCCCCCACACATGCCCGCCACAGCCCGTTTGCCCCCTCTTATGGGGGAGCAGCAAGAGCCGAGGCCACGGATCTGGGAGGCGTGGCGTTAAGGCCATCTGGCACCGTTGCCCAGCTATGTGCTGAAGACAGGGACACCGAGGGCCCTGGGCTGCAGCAGCCCCTTTCCTGGGAAGTGGCTTCGTCATGCTGGTGTAGTAGACAGGTTACCAGACGACCCACAGACACCATTCAGCCCACGCTTGTATGCGGCAGCCCTACCCCTCTGGGACCTGTGGCCTGGTCTCTGCCTCAGTCTCCCTTCCTGCCCAGGCAGGGCGTGGGTTCCTGGCCCGCATGGGCCTCCGGCAGCCCCTCCGGCAGCTCTTCCTGTCTCTCTGTGGCGTGATCAATGTAATTGGTTTCTGAAATCCTTCCCGGAACCACGGGCAGCATAAAGAACGGGTGTCAGGATGGAGGTGACATCCGAGTCAAATTAGTGTCAATATGACAATAAAATATACAGCTCGGAGGAAATATGGGCTGTAAACAGACAACATTTCAATCGGAACCATTTCAATCTTCTCAATGTGGTGAGAGCGGGGGCAGGGGGGCCGCGGTGGCTGCTGTTCTCTTGTTAAATCACCAATATTCAACAGCATAACATGAGAAAATTCCATTTTAGGGCCCGGGTGACAACCGGCGAACTCCCTGCTCCCCAGAGAGCTGCTCGGCGGAATGACGACCTTGGATTTCCTGAGTGGTTTTCTATCACCTTCCCACGTGGCTTCCCTCCTCATCTTCCTGCTGCGAATCAGCCCCCTTGAAGAACAGGAGGAAACGGGGCTTCGCTGACCACCTGGCCAGAGGGTGGGCTTTCGCCAGAGCGGGGATGTCCTTTGTCCTCCCACCCTCTGCCCCAGTGCACTCCTGAGGGACAGGGCGCGCGTTCCGACCCACGGAGCCATCCGAGGCCGTGCCACCTTTCTCCCACCACTGCCTCCCATCCACCACAGGGAGGGCACATACACCGTCCAAATGAGATTATTTTAGGCTCAGCAGAGACAGGAGTATCCTCCTCAGATATAATCAGGTTTTCCATTTCAGGAAAAAAAATACAAAGTTCTATTTTAAGATCCATTTTTCAACCCAAAAAGGCGAGTCTATTAAAAAGGTATCATTAAATACACAATCATGCAGGTGGCACTCGGCTAAGGTAAAAATTGTGCTAGTGGTTTGAAAATCAGTGGGCTGGGGACAAGGCCCTGTGGGATGAGGACTCCCGTGACATTCTCACCCCTCTGCCCTGCTTGCTGCTTTGCCTGGCAGAGCCCGGCTCCATGGGCTTGGCTGGACATTCAAAGCCTCTGGAAAGTTCTCTCCCCGACAGTGCTCCCTCCTCTCAGAACACGAAGGAAGGTGGGGTCAGTGGAGTGGCAGTTCAGGGTGGGCATTCTTCTCACCCCCAGGGAGCTTACGCAGAGCAGCCACGCTGGAGCAAAAGCCACGAGGGCAAGACTGTGCTGCTCAGGCCGGGTCCCCAGCACGTGGCAGGTGCTCAGTTTACCTGCCGAATAAGTGAGTATGTGTGTGTTGGGGGGAGGCGGAGAGAGGAGGCCTGTTCTCCCCAGAGGCCCGCGAGCTCCTGAGACCCCCTGCACTCGCCCAGAGCTTTCATGTTCAAGGTCATTTTATGGGTGGCTCCCTGGTGTGAACACACATGTCCTCCAAAGACCCAGGACCCTTCCACAGGTCTCCTGAGCCACGTTGCCAGTTCTGTGTGACGACTGACAAGATTTTCTCTGTGAGAGTGCAAAAAGAAACTGCTGGGAAGATGCACTCACATTCGCTACTGGGTGGTCCGAAGCTTCCCGGGAGGAGCCCTCTGCGGACCTGCACTGCTGGGGCTGCCGAAAACACGGCCGCTGGCGGGGCCTTCTCCGGCCTCTATGGTCTGCGAGAGAGGAGGGGGCCGGGGGACACTGCAGCGGCAGGTCGGCTCGGCTGGACTGGGGCCTAAACTGAGAGCCGGCACCGTGTCCGGCGTCTCTCAGACGCTGACGTAAGACATCCGCGTAGGCACGGGAGCTGAGTGGAAGTGCCTAGAGCCTTTTCAAAAGCTGGAGCAAAAGTTCTGCCTCCAGTTTAAACTGGTTTGGAAAAAAATGTATTAAGTGGTAACCAATACAGGAGATAATCCCGGATTGCAACCGTTGGGCATAGAGGAAGAGAAGTCATTTGTTCCTGAAACCTGTGGTAAGGAAAATTCCCCACTCCCACCCGCGCTGGGCTGGGGAAACTGACATCCCTGCTCAGGCTGAGTCTGGGATCTGCATCCTGAGCCAGGCACGTTCCCCAGGCGGAAGCGGAGAAGCGCCGGGTGTGGGCGTGATGAGTTAACCAGAGGCAGTGACGAGAGCTGGGAGCGCTCCCACCCACTGGTGAGCTCACCTCCTGCCCGGCCTCCCGATTGCCAGCCCCAGAGGCTGCTAGACACTGAGCTGCCCGGGAGAACAGAGCTGTTCCCCGGCCCCCTTCCAGGCTCCCTGCAAGCCCGAGCAGTTTCCTCCCTGTCTACTTTGCACCTTGCCACTCCAAGGTCCTCTGTAAGTGCCACTCACTCACTCACTCACCCGATGAACACAGAGGGCCTGTTCCTTGCCAGACCTGCTCCCACACCCAGCGGCGCGGCCATCTGGCCACACATAAGGAGAAGTGCCAGCCAGTTCCAGCTGGGCGCCTTGGGTCTTGCTGGTGCCGTGGTGCTGGCTGGTGGCCCCAGAGGCCTGGGGCTGGATTCCGGTGGGGTCTCGGGAGAAGGCCTAGGACACTGTGCGGACGTTTGGGGCCTGCAGATGGGGTGCTGTGTGGCAGGACAGCAGCATGCAAGTGGGGAGAGACGGGGCTGGCGAGGAAGGCCGCCCAGCTGGGTTCTGAAGTCTAAATTTCATCCTAGGGCGCTGGGAGCCGGGATGGGGGAGGGGGTGAAAGATGGGCCTGCCGGACACCAGGCAGCCAGAAGGCAGTGACAAGCGGCACCTGGCAGGCCTGGGGGCGGGATGGACAGGGAGATGGCAAGGGAAAGGTGGGGGGGAGGGGGGCGCGCCCGCAGCCTGGGCTTAAGCAGCGGTGGACAGCAGTACTAACAACGGAGCAACACAACCCTGTGAGAGGGCGTGGACTGAAACACGGAAAAGGAATACTGGTGGAAAGAGGCTGAAACCAGCATTAATTGAGCACCTACTGTATTCCAGGCACCGGGCCAGATTCACACATGCGACCTCATCCAGTGTGTGCACTCCACATGGCTGCAGGGCTCGGATTGCTGCCCTACCCCGTTTGGTTGGATGGTCACCACCTCTGGGCCCAGCTGCCACAGCGAGGACGAGGCGCAGCCAGGCGCTGAGCCAGGTCTGCCCCGTGGCCACCTCACTGCCCTCCCCTGGCACGGTGGGGCCTGGAGCTCACTGCATGGGCTGGTCAGGTGCACTGGAGACAGCACACCCCGGGAAAAAGCGGAGGATGGGGTGACAAACAGGGCGGGATGTGGAACCCCCAGGCGAGGCCTGTGGCAAGCCACTTGATGTTGGGAAGTCGGCTTGCTCATCTTGAAGCGTGGGGGCGGGGTGCTGAGTTTTCCCACCCCTCCCCCCCTCCCTGACAGGGGCTCCGTGCTGACCCCAGGGCTCATCCTCAGGGGGCCACAAGCGTCCCTGTGAATGTGCTGTGAGGATGGCACGTGGTGGAAGAGAAGAGCACCAAAAACTTCATCCACCCAGGGCACCTGACCTCCAACCTTGCCGGAGGTCCCCGCCTGCAGCCGCCTCATCTCAGTACTGACACCCCGTCCTGCAATCACTCAAGCCCAGGGCCCTGGGGCCGACCTCGACCCCTCTCTTTCTCTGACTCTACATTCGACCTGGGACTTCACCATCCACCTGAAACACTACCACTTCTCCCCACCTCTGCCCACTGGACCCCTGCTTCCACCTTGCCATGCGTCCATTCTCAGGTCAGCACGGAAGGAGGTTCCTCTAAGGATCAGTCAGATGTCTTTTCTCCTCTGCCTGGCTCCAGCTCACTGTGGTGATAGCCAGTCTTTTCCAAGGCCTAACTGGCTAGCACAACCAGCCCCAAAACTTGGGCCTCACCCTGGCTCCTACCCGTCACTTGCTCCACCAGCCACACTGGCCCCCTGGCTGTTTCTTAGGCATGGCAGGCACACTGCTGCCTCAGGCCCTTTGCACTTGCTGTGTCCTCTGCCTGGAGCTCTCTTCCCCCAGACTTCCACTAGGCTCCCTTCTTTCAGTTCTGTGCTTCGATATCATCTTCTCAAATAGCACGTTCCCAGCGATGCTTCCTCCGACTTCCTCATTCCATAGTGCACCCCCACACCACCCCTGCTTTGTTTCCCTGGTCCATTTACAACCGGCCACTTTGGTACGTCATTTCCTAGTGCTATGGAGTGACTGTTTCTCTCCAGCACACTCTAAGTTCCACAGAGACAGGGAAGAGCGTGTTTTGTTTGCTGGCCGGTGGTGACGCAGTGAGTGTCGTCCACAGACTCTGTCCCCCTGTGGACTGCAGTCATGGCAGTCACTGGGGTCTGGCCCAGCCTCTCCTGAGGGCCCCTCAGCCCCAAAGGGAATGCGAGTGCCCTCCTCTGCCTCCGGGGGCACCGGTCAGCCCACACCCTCAGTGCCCCCCGCCCCGCTTGGCCCAGCACTCACCGTCCACGGGGTTGAGGTAGTCGTGGAGATGGGGAGCGCCGGCGGCACCCCCGCTCTGCATCAGCAGGTCCCCATACGGTGCGGGGTGGCCCGCCATGAGGGTCATCTGGTGGTAATAGTCTGAGGGGTTGGTGCCCGGGGCAGGGAGGCCGAACAGTCCCCTCTCCTTAAGGTGCTCCTGGGCCACTGTGGGCGGGGAGAGAGGGAAGCTGTCAGAATCCGGCACTGGCCTCGCCTCCTCCCGCCAAAGGAAAGCGAAGAGAGAGGCACAGCTGCCCTGCGGGTCCCTCGTGCCCACCCCCTCCCCTGGTCTGCCCTGCGCTGGGCCAGCTCAGCCAGCCTGGGCTCGGGCCCTGCTGCGGATGAGGGAGGCCAGATTCCGGCCTCCGCATTCCTCTGTTTCCTCAATTCATAAACAACCTCCCGCTCCTCCATCCAGGCCCCGCAGAAGCCCTGAGCCCCAGGCCCGCAGGCCCCACAGTCCAGCAGAGTGTTCGGAGCAAAGAGAAGACGCATGCCGAGGCGCCGTGGCGCAGGCGGCTGGGCCAGGCCAGGCTCTTCGTGAATGTCCAGGGCGAGGTCGCTGCCGAGGGCTCCGGGCCTGGCCGGATACAGCTCCTCACCTGCCAAAGCCCACCTGCTCCCTGTCCCAGCGCGTGAAACCTCAGAACCCCGCAGACAGCCCTGCCCAGGGCTTAGGGAAGAGGCAGGGAGGGCCCGAATTCAGAGTAAAGGAGGGGCCTGGCCCTCGGCAGTGTGGTGTCAGGGGACGAAGGGGAGCTTGGAAACCGAACACATCCATCCAGAGTCCTGTTTCTTACCAGGTGTGCAAAACCGGGAGGTTTGAACCTAGAGTGCAAGTTCCTAGCCACCGTGCTCCATGGCCTCTCGGCCACTACTCTCCGCAAATACTAAATGAGATCCCTTATTGCTCGGCAGAGAAGAAACCAGTCAATGGAGTTGCCATCCTCCTCTTCCTCCTTCTCACCATCTCCTCTGGGGGGCCTGGCCTCTGTGTCGACAGGCTGACCACCCATAGCCTCTGCCTGCTCTGTCCCTGCCTGAAGTGCCCTCCACCTCCTCCCTGCCTGCCCAGCTCCTCCGGCGCCTTCCTGGAGATCCCATGTTCCCCGGGACACACACAGTCTGGCAGGCTCTGCTTTGGACCCGTGATGAGCTTTCCAGGCACACACCGGCAGGCTCTAGAGCTGGCACCGTGCAAGGCACACATAAGGACTCGAGTCAGAGCACCTGACAGAGCTCTCTCGAGCCTGATCTACTCTGGTCACTTGGTAGCTTGGACCAGCGCCAGCAAGGCCTCAGGGTATCTGGTCTACCCCGATGGGCCATGGGAATTAGCCAGGCCCCCTTTTGTGTTGAACCTGTCCCTGCTACCTGCTGGGTCTGTGGGCAGGAGAAGTGGGTGTTCCAGGAGCTACATCAGTGTTTATCTTGCACGCAGGCATGGAGTGGGCTCCGTCAGCTGAAAGCCTCTCTCTCTGCCAGGGGCAGCCCCGTCTCACTGCTCAGTTTTGCACGGGCCACACTGCGGTCAGCAGACACTGCAGTGTTCTGGTTCCTGAGTATCTCCCGGAGGGCGCTCCGTTCCTCCGTTCCTCCCACGGACATCTCTCAGGGCCCGCTGGCCACGACCTTGTCACCATACACATTAGTTTCCTGGGGCTGCTGTAACGGCTCAGCGCAAACTTGGTGTTAACTGATGTTAAAACAATAGACTTTTATTCTCTCATTGTTCTGGAGGCCAGAAGTCTGAAATTAAGTATTGGCGGGGCCACGGAGGCTCTAGGGGAAGAGGGTTCCTTGTCTCTTCCAGTCTCTGGTGGTCGCCGGCGTCCCTGGCTTGCGGCCACATCACTCCCATCTCTGCCTCTGTCTTACCACTGCCTTCTCCTCTGCACCTGCCCTGGGTGGGCACGACTGTGTCTGTCTCCTCTGGGAGTCTCTGACAAGGAACCTGTCACTGGATTAAGGGCCCATGAGATAATCCAGGATGACCTCCTCAGCTCAGGGTCCCTAACTTAATGATACCCGCAAAGACCCTTTTTCCAAATGAGGCAACACTCACAGGTTCAGGGATTAGGGTGTGGATATATCTTTTGGGGGGCACCATTTAGCCCGCTAAGCCATGTGTGGGTGTTAATGCCAAGGCAGCACTTGGACCAGACTTTTGTCCTCGTGCTCCCGGCCAGCCCTTTGCGGCTGGGCCACCAGGAGTGATGTGGACCAGCCCAGGCCCACCGTCCCCGAGACAGCAGCTTGGCATGGGGGCAGCACAGCTTCCAGGGCACCCCAGTTTGATCAAGGCCACTCAGGGGATACAGGTGGTATTCAGGGTTGGAACCCGGGGTTGTGGCCGTTTCAGAATGGCGCCACATCCTGGCCAGCCGTTTCCAAGCCCTGTGGCTCAACCATTCGCCTTGTCTGGTTTCTTTTGGTGAGGACCAGGCAAAGTGCAATCCTCCCTGCTAGGAGATGAGCCAATGCTTCAGGGGGCCTTTCTGCACAGCTGGGGGCTGGAAGCCTCCTCTTCATTGCGAAACTCCGTCCTGCACCTTCTCAGAGCCAGGCCCCTGCTTCCGCTCACAGTAACATCTATGAATGAGCTGGGAGGGGACACACTCCTCTGGCAGAGAATGGAGGTAGTGACAAGAGACCCACTGGGACCACGTTTCCCGGAGCCTCTGCCCACGGGGCCCACAAGTGCATGCTGCAAACGTCCTCTAGCCTGGGAGGTCGGCTCGGCTGGGCATATTTGAGAAGATGCAGCTTGGTTGCTTGCAAGGCTGGGAACAATGAGAGCTAATAGAGCGCTGTCGGGCAGTGCAGGGCAGTGGGTAATGCCCACGCCACGCTGGGGGTGGGATGCACTTCCCAGGGAGACAGCATGGGTGGGGCCGGCTCCCAAATGTCCTGTGTGTGTGCGCGAGAGAGTGGGGTGGGGGCTAGAAGTGTAAAACTTTAGATCTGAAAGACATACTTTGTACCACTGACTCTCCCCTTTTCTGGCTCAGATTAATTGCACTGGGGTTGGCCATCTGATCTCTGAGCTGGGCCAATCAATTCTCTCTCTCAAGCAGCGAAATAGAAAGACACAAAGCCACAGGCTCATCCCTGGAGCCTGGGGACCTGGGATGCCACTTTGTGGCCACCTGTGTTGACCTGCAAGGGGCAGATAAAGCAGAGATGCAGGCAGCAGGTGGCCCACTCTGCCTCCCTCCTACATGGCACCCCCCACACCACCTTCACTCAGCACCAGCCTCTGCACGCTCTGGGTCATTGCAACCAGTGGCTCTCACCTACATAGGACCTGCCTGGACAGACCCTCACCACTATTATGATGATAAATCATATGTGCGTGCAAAAGGGTGCTTATGAAGGGCTCTGTAATGAGCACAGAAAGCAGTGGTCCCCCACTTCTCTGCTTTCACCGTTCATTTACTTAAAAACCTGTTGTTCAGGGGTAGTGGGAAGGGACGCCAGCCTGGCCACCGTCTGAGGGCGCGGAGGCTGAGGAGTCAACAGCGTGAGAGTGAGTGAGGCTGGCTGTGCTGACAGAGCTCGGAGCACCCGCTGGGCCCTGCCCGATGCCCCAGCTCTCCCTCCCAGCCCCAGGCCCCACTCACCGTCTGCGGGGCTGAGGCCCCTGGCTGCAGAGATCATGGAGAGCGTGGGGCTGCTGTGCACGGAACGGAGGTAGTGCTCCATGTGGGGGTTCACGTACGGGTGGGGGCCGTTGAAGGGGGACTCCCCAGGGCCGGCAGGGTGTGGGGAAAGCCGGAGCAAGGAGATGTCAGAGATGACAGGGCTGCCGCTCAGGGTGGGGGGCCTGCAGAGACAGAGGGCAGGAGTCTAAGAAGGAGGACGCAAAGGGAACCCTGCCAAGAACCCCAGACCAACACGGCCAGGCCTTGACTCACACGCGAAGACTTCCCAGAACAATCTGCACCTTTTATTTGGCATGTAGACACCCCTTGGTCACCTATAAATTCAGGTCTCGACTTCAGAGCACTGGCCCGTGAATGCAGACTGCAAGCTGCATGCTGGTGCAGCCACCCCCACCCCGCCCAGGCCCGTCCTGGCGATGGGACTCTGCACCCACGACTGGATTTGCCAGAGCGCAGGCCACTCACACATCCGAGGTGCATCCCGGCTGCCCCAGAGTCTCCTCAGGGCTGGGCACAGGCACACATGCCAGAAACATACGAAAAATAGAGCAAGAAAACACTAACACCAGGGGTAAGACACAAAGAGCTCACATTCCTAACAATATGTGCAAAAGGGAGGAATTGGGAGATGCCCTGCAACTGGAGGATTTCTGGCTTCAGTTGGACAGTGGCTGGTATGACCCACCCAGCCCCAGGATGAGCTATGAAGGGAAAGATCCGGATTCAAGACGAGTTTTGAAATTGGTGAGCCGTACCTAAAATTTTGGAATATCGTTCTAGCTCTCCTTACATGGAATTCCTTCTAATGTTAACAGAGTTTCCCTTCTCGATACCCAGCGGTCCAGCGTGCATCTGGCTTGATCCCTCTGGCCTGCGCCGGTGTGGCTGGGGCCCACCCCATGTCCCCTGGTCTGCCCACCAGGAGGTGCCAGATCCACTCAATGTGACCATGGCCCCTTCACGCAGGCCTCGGGCCTCTAACGCAGCCGCAGGGTACTTAGAGGTCATCTACTCCAAAACTCACTCATTAACAATGAATCAGACTTTATGGAAACCACAACTAAGTCACTGGCAACCAAATTTACAAGATTTCATTTTCAGTTCTTCAGAAAACAGGAACTCTTCACGATTTGACGCAGTGCAGAGAAGAGTATGTGTTCGAATCAGACACACCTGGGATAGGATCCCAGCTGAATCACAGCAAGTAATTGAACCTCTCCAAGCCTTAGTTTCCTCGTCTGTAAAATGGGGATAATAGTGTCTATCTATTTCATACAATTGTCGTGAGGATGAAAGTCCCCAAAACTGTGCCTGAGACACAGTAGGCAGTCAAGAAAGGAGAGCTGTGATTAGAGCACTAGCACCACACTTCAAGGGCAAATCCAGACGCCCTGGGAGACACCCAAACTCTTCGTGTTGGCCTGAAGCTGGATGTATGAAAGGCACTGTTAGAACTAGTTCTTTTGAGGAGGAAATGATGTGTCCGTTGGCTGTTCAAACCAGAGGTAATTACTGATTATGTTCAATAGCGCATGAAACTGGGCTGATGGCGCAGTCTAAACCGGGACCCAAACAGGTGACACCCAGATGTCTTCACATCTGGGTCTCACAAACTTCCCCCTGGGAGGCTGCTCGCCCGGGGCCTGGAGACGAGCCTTTTGCTACATGGTTTTCTAGCTCGGGCAGCTGTGTTTGCTCTGGATGTGCAAATCCAATGAACCTGCCTGGCTACATCCATGCATCTGCGTTTTTGCCTAGGCCAATGCTTGACCTTGCTGGCAAATTACTTCTCATCCCTGTCAGCCCAGCAGGGGACCCCTTGGTGACACCCTCCCTGAAGCCTCTTCTGGCACCAGATGCCTTCCCTCTGCCCCCCCAGGGTGCACTGTTATGGTCTCAGGCCGACAGATGCATCTCCCAGGGTTACTGGGCCCTGCTCAGCACCTGGCGGGGAGCTGGCACCTCCAGGGGCTCAGAGGTATCCTCAGCATCAGTGACAGCCGCATGTCTGTGTGCCAGGCACTGTGCAGGGCTGGGGGAGCCTGCAGAGTAAGTCACGAGTCACAACCTCAAGATGTTCTCACTCATAGGCTGCCTGCAGGGGCCTGTCCACCTCCAGGGGAACTGTGTTAAGTGTGGGGGCTTAAGAGATGGCTTTATTTTAGGCAGGGGGTGCTACGTGTGCCTGGGAGAGAAAAAACAGAACCAAACTGATGCACCCTCTCGCCAAGGGCGGGTCCCACTGGCTCTGGCATATGACCATGGCAGGATGGAGACTAACATTCCTGCCACAGGAGAGGTGTTTTGGGACAAGAAGACTTGGAGAGAACCTCATCTCTGTATGGCTCCTGGGGACAGACCTGGGGCTGAAGGACAGAGTTCCGGAAGGCAGCATGAGTATGGCTCAGTAAAAGGCAGGGTGCCCACTGGCCGGGAGAAAACCCGAGGCGCCTCCCGTCCTCAGTCTCCTTGACCCTCCCCAGGATGCTGCAGGCAGGGCAGGTTCCCAGAGCCTGCAGGATGCTGGCCAGGGTTTGAGGTCACAGTAGCCTGTGGTCACTGAAGCTGGTTGTCCTAAGCGGCCCAGGCCCCAGGAATGCCAGCTTCCCTGGCACCAGGGTCACCCTGCGGGGAGTGGTGACCGCAGCAGAGGACCCAGAGACAGCCACGATCACATGGGGATTTCAAGCAACATGTTGAGGCCACACAGCAGTCCCAGTCTGTCCAAGGTGACCCAGATTCCACTGGCGGGATGAGCCTCACCGGAGAAGACCTGGAGTGAGGCGTCACCATGGCAACATGTACACCACTGCCTCATACCAGCTTCACCAACCTGCACAGCAGGTCCTTCCGGGACCACAGCTGCTCTTTCTTGGATGCTGGGCCCCATCCCAGGGCCCAGTGGAGAGTCCCCACGCATGCTGGGTGTCCCCCGTGCCAGCGAACAGACTGTGCCATGGGGGCCTTGCCAGGAGCGGTGACTGCTGGTGACATCTCAGCCAACCCCCAGCGGCACCTCCTTTCCACACCATCGTGCTGAGGGCCCAACTTTGGTTTGAGCTGTGGCCATCCAGGCCTTGACTCTGGCAGCCGGGCACACTCGAGGACACGGCCTTCAGGATGGGCGTGGCTGCCAGCCGTGTGAGCTCAATTTAAAACGTGGCCACAGTATCCTACGTCACAGATACACACGTGCGCCCTCACACACTCCCGGGCCACCATCAACCAGGCGACAGAGCCAGCCCTTCTGCAAGCTGCTCAGCTCGGACGCTGCTCTCACGCCCTGCCCTCCCTCCCCCAGCCTGGCTGAGTGCGTCTGTGCCACACCCTGCCAGCTGCTCTCACATTTGTTCTCACTCCCCACGAGGCTGTCCTGAGGCCTTGCTCTGCGCCCAGGGGCCTGAAGGGGGCTCAGAGCCCAGGTGGAAGAGCAGCCCCATGGTCAGGTAAGTGCAGGGCAGTGTGGTAGGAGCAGCTCCCTAACTCTGCCCGGACGTGTGGAGGAGGGCTTCCCGGCGGAGGCGACACTTGGGCTGGAACCTGAGGGATGAGCAGGCGTTCGTGAGGAAGTGCATTACAAACGACAGAAGCAGCATGTGCAAAGAAGGCCTGGAGCACAAAGCCGTGTGCGAAGGTTATCCTGGGGGCAGGGCACAGTCCACAGAATGCTTGCTTTGGGCTGAGTCTACACTGGACCTGCTTCCTTTCTTCTGCTCTGGGCAGGGGGACACGTGACCAAAGCCCAGCTGATCAGAGCACTCCATGTTGCTAGCACCATGACCAGTTCAGGGATGGGCATGTGCCCAAGACAGCAGCTTTGGCTGGAATCTCTGGGAGAGAAGTTCTCTCAGTCCACAAGGGCTGCCGAGCTCGCGGGAGTAAGCACGGGGATGCGGGGGCCTCGCGGGGAGAGCCCAGGAGTGGAGGTGACACAGAGAACGTTGGAGCTGAGAGATGAAGTACTGGTTTCCTGATCTGAGCCCCTTCGCCTAAAGCCAGCACCCTTGGCTGTTTCAGTTATGAGCCAAGATGTTTGTTGTTTGTTTGTTTGTTTGAACCACTTGCGGCTGAATTTTTCTGTCTCAGGAACGCCGCGGCCTGTGAAGGCAATCCCTGACTCACAGCCTCCTGCAGCGCAGGGCCCGGCATCCCACAGGGCAGAGCTGAGCCGCAGCCGCTCGGGCCTGTCCGGCCTCCCGCCTGCAGGACTGGAGGACAGGGTCCCAGTCCACAGCTGCTGAGGCTGGCAGCGCAGCCGTGCGGGTCCTTCTGTGTCCGGACACGAGGCACAAGCAAAGCGCTCCGGGCTAGTAGAACAGCCGACGGAAGCCCCGCCTTGCCGTGTCTGTGTGTGCACGTGTGTTGCACACGTGTTGGTGACCAGCAGCAGCAGCCTGGGGCAGGAGCCTGGGCTCGCAGGCTGACGGTTGCAGCGGAGGACACCCGCGCTTCCTCCCGATGTCAGCTCTGGCCTGCTGGCTGGGACTGGGTCCTCACCCCAGGAGGCTGGGCACAGTGCCAGGAAAGGTCTCTCCTTAGCAGGATCCTCCTCCCTCTTTCCCTTCCTCCCTAGTGGGGGATCCCTGGCAGAGCCTTGGACGGGACTTTGGGACCGGGCCCGAGGTCAGCACGGAGGCTGGGAGGTAGGAGGAAAGGAGAAAGGGGAGCATGGACAAAGCAACCGAGGTGTAACCGGACCGCTGCTGTGCAAGCTCCGTGATGCTGCTGTGGGAAGCCACTGCCGCTGCAGTGTCAGCGTCCGCCGAACACCTACCACGTGCAACACATCCAGCAGGCCCACGAGGTAGATTTCATCATCCCCATTTTAAGGACCAAGAAACTCGGGCTCAAGGAAGTCACGTGACTCGCCCAAGTGGCAGAGCTGGAGTGGGAATCAGGTTGAGCAGACTGACATCCCTAATGGTCCACCGAGGCACAGGCCTCTGCTTGCCCCGCCTCACTGTCTCTGTCCTCGAGAAGCCTGGTGTGGTGGTCCCTTTGCAGATGCCACGCTGACTCTGGGAGCGGTGCCGGTTGAGGGGGTCACAGCCTGCACTTTGAAGTCAGACAGATGTGGGTCTGAACGTGGCTCTGCCCCTGCTGTGGCTTTGCTGCCATCCGCTCTGAGCTTCAGTGTCCCTGGCTTGCAGGAGGGGGCAGC